CCTTTGTGAACAAATCTACCAATTGAATTTCAATTGGAATGTGCACTGGTTCAATTACTCCTGCAATCACTTTTCCACACACAAATTGACAATCCATCTCGATGTATTTTCACCGTCATGAAAAATTGGATTTCTACACAATTATATAGCTGACTGATTATATATCATAGTAAAGCTTCGCTGGAACATTTGTGTTACTCCCAAATCTGCTAATAATTGCTAAAGCTTCGCTGGAACATTTGTGTTACTCCCAAATCTGCTAATAATTGCTTCAACCAAATAACTTCGCAACAGGTTGAAGCCATGGCTCGGTACTCTGCCTCAGTTGAACTTCTCACAACTGTCGTCTGTTTTTCACATTTCCAACTCACTAATGAACTCCCAACAAATATTGAATAGCTAGTAACAAACCTTTTTGTATCTGGGCAACTCACCCAATTGCTCTCGGAATATGCCTTAATTGTCAAATTGAAATTTGCCTTCAACAATATTCCTTGACCAGAAGCTCCTTTCAAGTACTTTAACACTCTTTGTGCAACCTGCATATGTTCATGTCCAGCCTACCCATAAACTGAGATAAGGACTCGACTAGCATAAATAATGTTTGGCCTAATAAAGGTTAGATATAAAGGTTAAATATAATGTTTGGCCTAGAAAAGGTTAGATATAAAATGACAGATTATTTTTGAGAAAAAAATCGACAAAAGACAAAAGGACGATATTAATAACAATTGACAAAATTATTTTTTTCTTTAGTAAAAATACATCTTAGATTAAGAAACCAAATGTTGTAAACATATGTAAATTAATCATCAACCAATCTAATATAAATAACAAAGATACATGTTATAGCAAAGTAAGATGGTCCATATTTTACTTGAAAATAAATTAAAATTTACTAATTAGAGAACAAAAAAATAGTTGCTCATCTGGAGACTACTCTCGACGATGTTGCTGACGAGAGATTACTCCGGACGATGCTGATTGTTGAGAGACTATTACGATCAATGATTGGATTCTCTGTCCGTTGCTTCGGCATGCACATGACTTGTGCTCCGCTTGTGGCTTTGCCCTGCACTTGATTTGTTTCTCTATCGAGTGGCCACTCATTGATTTGTTTGATTATGATGATATAATATGTGAATACATGGGTATTGATATATAACTGAAATGTGGTGGCCATTGTATAATTGAAATGTGGTTGACATTTGACAAAAGCTCCAAGGGAAGCAAATCATATATATTGAGTTTAAAGCTATGGCCAACAACTAAAGTGTGCCTAGTTAATGATGATTTATGACGGTAAGCTTTGATTATATGTTGTATTTTAGAGACACGGGTTTGATCAATTACTGAATGTAAGTGTGCCGTTGAGATGTGATTACGACAAGCATGGCATGATGTACATGTAGGATATTACAATGATTCTCACACTTGTCTTTTTGAGATGTTTGATAAATTACTATGTATATTATATGATAAATGTGTCTCCATATTATGAATATTTATCTATGATTTACTATGTTGTGTTAGCATCCCTATCTCACTGAGTACTAAATAACTCACCTCCTTTTTATGTACCATTTGCAGATAAATGACGTCATAGATCTACGCGTGGCTTAGCATCATTGTTTGGACAGATGAATTTTGGCATTCAGTAGATTTTCTACCTAATGGTTCACTCTTCTGAGTTCGATCCATACTAACTTTCGTATTTGAAATTTTAATGTTTAGGAAATAATGTAATTCGGATATTGTAGGCATTGAGTACCATGTGAGATTGTTTACAAAGAGTTGTAAGATACAAACCCGATGACCAGCCTATGTGTGGCCCTATGAATATTGCACTAATGAGCTTATGACATGAAATGGATTATGTGTTTTGCTTAAAATACCATGGCTTGAATATTGGACATGTGAATTCTAAGGCTTGCTCGAGTCTCATGGGTTTTGTCTGCGAAGCTCATGCGCCGGTAACAGACTCCCGGGTTTAGGTCATGACAAATGATGCTAGTAGATATATTTGTATTTTTTCGTTTGTATTCTTAATATACTTGTACATATTTTAATTTGTATTTCTTATTGATTGCAATAAAAATAATGCAATTTGTATTCTTTTTTTATTAATAATAAAGATTTTTTACGTATTTTGCAATATTAAAAATTAATTTTATTTTTATTTCTTACTTTTTAAAATTATCAACTACCTAAACATTATCAATGGAATTATAGGTAGTTGTAAGAAACTCTACTTTTATACAAGGGAAAAACTGTAAACTTACTTGGTGAGCTTAGAAGGCTTTTCGTTTCTTAAACAATTAGCGAAATTTTCTTGAAAACCTTGCATTTTTAAAAGATTTGAAGTTAAATGGGATATAGGAGGAAGGATAAAACCAAAAATGAGAAGTTTTGACAAAAAATAAAGTATTTTGTCCTAAAAGTATCGATACCTAAAAAAAAGATATTAATATTTATTGGTCAAAATATCTTGAAAAGTATTTTATTTAAAAAGTATGGATACTTAATGATCAAAATACCTTGAGAAGCATTTTGTGTGAAAAGTATTGATATTTCAAAAGGAAGTATCAATACTTAGTGTCTTCAATGCCTTAGGAAAGCATCTTGTATTAAATGTATCGATACCTGACTTATAGGTATCGATACTTTAAGTGCAAAGTATAAAAAAAAATTACCTTGAGTGGAACGCCTATTTCTCTCCCCTTTCTCCCCCGTGCTTAGCTCTTCTTTCCTTCTCCCAATGTCTCTCACAGTTGGCCCAAATTTGGCTTCAGCCCAAGTTTTAATCCAGTTAAGATAACGTTTTCAACCACCTGAATATTATTATCTAACAATTTTTTTAATTAAATTTTCTCCCTAAGAGAATTCCAATTTTTCTCTAGGGGTTGGTTTTTTTTAAGTGATTTTCTTAAGGCAAGCTTACCAAGGTAGGGACAAGCAAGAGTTGAGTAAATAGTAGTGTGAATTATGGATTGGAGAAGCTTATGAGCTAAAGTAAAGTTTGAGAAAACTGGGTTTAAAAATTTGTGAAGAATTAAATGTGTTTACTGATTATATGTGATGGTTGTTTAGGTTCTCTTAAGGCTCCCAAGTTTGATAGCTATAGGAGCTTGGATAGATGGTCTTAAAGTTCTTATATGCTTTTGTTTAAATTTTTCATTCATATCATGTCATACCTCAAACTAATTGCTAGCAAATATTTATATAGATTTGCAAGTATCTTTTCATTAAGAACACAATCTTTCAATTGAAGAATTTTTTTGTCTTTGACCATAACCTTTCAATTGAAGTATCTTTTTATATTCGAACACAACTTTTAATCTTATAAGACATAACTTTTGGCTTACAAATATTTTTCCAATAGTCACATTATTAAGTGACACAACCTTTTATTTTTAAAATACACCATCTTTGGAGCTCTTGAATTTGTAATACACAACAACCATGAATGATTGCTTAGGCTTAAGGTTCAGTTAGTAACCGAAAAATGACTTGCTAGGAAAACTTTTTTGTGTGTAAAATATTTTATAAGAAAATTTAATATTTTATATTATTTGGATACACTGTCGAAATATTTTCTATTATTTTGATTATCCTATGAAAAATATTGTCCACCATCATGATAGTGTTATTTGGGTGTTAAAATGATAAATAGAAGTTGATTACAAAACAATATTGATATTTGATTTTCACTAATTTGGTATTAAAATTAAAAATAAAAATGAAAATGGACAAAATCAATGATATTTTCCAAAATAATAAACTAAATATTTATAAAGAAAATAAACTCAAATTTTCAAAAAAAAATTTCATCTTGTCACTTTTTTTCCATAA